AGGGGTAGAGGATTCATAATTGCAGGATTATGAAGTTACAATTTGAGTGGGACAGGCACATGTCAGGTCATTCTGCAGCTTTCTCCTTGGGCTTTTAAGGAAATGGGTTATGTCAGAGACCTGGTATTTGGGGCAGGATGTATGGGCATTAGTTTAAATTACTTATATTAGTTCCTAGAATTTTGCTTATGATGCATGTTATTTGTGTGTGTGTGTTTTAAAGGAATGTTCAGCCTGTAGAGCTAAGGCTAAATGGCTTTCCTGCAGTGATATAAATGTGCTATAATCCTTAATACTCAGATTTTCAGCTTTAGGCTAGTGATTCTTTTTAACATTCATGGAATATAATAGGCTACTTTAGAATTTCAGAGTGATTATGGGAATAACCAAAGCTGCCAAAATTTTAAATGAATTAAAGCAGTTCTTTCACCAATATTTTTAAAGCAGTTCAGTCACAATTTTCTCTCTCTCTGGGTAAACCAGGTTTGAGGAAATGCAAAAAAAATGGAGTTACCAAACATCATGGTAAGTCTTAATGCTGTTTTTGAACAACTCCAAATCAAATATGCTATGATAGCTATAAATATTTTTAGGTGTCTATTGGTCACAAATTTTGATGCTGCTTCTCATCAAACGGGGAAAAATATACCATGGCAGCAGAGTTACAGTAAGCCTCAGACAGGGCTTTTTTAGCCTGAGAGATCTGTTGGAGTGTTAAAGAGAAGCTGACTGTCTGAAAAATAGACAAGTAAGCACAGACATTCCTGATGCTCATTGTCCTAGTTTTTATAAATTAATTATTAAAAGCACATACAGATAAGTACACTTTTTTTTTTCTTTTTTTAAAGGAATATGAAAGTGGCTTTAGTATCACCTTGAGAGTTAACCGTATAAACCCTGAATCGTCATTTAAAAAAATATTTTCTGATGAACCTACAGCAAGTCCTCTATACCAGTGGTCAGCAGCAATTTTTTGGCAGAGGGGCTGGAGTGATTCAACTTGGGTCAGAAGTGGGCAGGCATTAGGATCCAGTCACTGCCATGTCTCCTTGGGCTGGATCTGGCCCATGGGCCATAGACTGACCTCTGCTCTACCTGAAATCATTAGTGTTGGTTAGGGGCCCTGGAGAGACCTTGTGCAGAAGTCCATGATGAAGGTTATATTTTAAATGGCCTCTTACTGATTAAACCATAGTCTAACACAGTAGTTACAGTATTTTGTGACATCTTAGCATTGTCTGATTCATTCAGGACATACAGGTGGACTCACTGAGTAGCTAAGCTTTTTCAGAGGGTATTTTCACAAAAGTGATTTGCATGGTATTTTCATCTTAACAAAAAGCCACTTCCAGAGGGGGGGCCTCCTGCCACTGAGAGATCTGTCGCTTTATAAAAACCATTTTTAATCTATTTGAAAAATATTTTTTTCATGTTGTTTTTCTTCACTAGTCACTCCAGGAATTACGTTTTTGAAGAAAGGCTAGTTTGCAAGTATTTTCAATTTGAACCTGATTTAGTCAGTGATAGCAAAATAGGCTGATGTAATTCATAACCATGTGGCAAGAGCCAGGATGGGAAACAGTTTTAGCCCTTTAGGTAACCCTGATTACTGGAGTTGGGCCTAACTACCTGCAACTGGCTCGAGTTACTTTCATGGGTGTGGCTGCTTGGATCGAAGCAGTTCGCATCTCAGTGTTCTTCAGGCTGCTCAATTGGGCAGATGCCTCTTTGTCTGGCTCGTGGCTTCTAGGCCTTGCTTGAATCCTTGTTCCTGGTTCCTAACTCCAGCCTCAATCCTAGTTTCTGATCTCTGATCACCGGGTTGTGGCTTTAGATCCCCGGCTCCTGGTTGCTAGCTGTCTTCTGTCTTGTGTCTTTGTCTTGTGGCTTTACTTGAATGATTGTGACCACTCCAATAGCTACAACTCCTGCTCTGGATCTTCTAGCTCAGGGGTGGGCAAAATACAGCCCACGGGCCGGATCCAGCCTGTGAGGCCATTCTATACAGCCCACAGGGCCCCTAAAAATTTAGAAAATTAATATTTATTTGCCCTTGGTTCCTGTCAAAAATGACAGGAACCAAGGGTAGTAGGACCCAGGGGAAGCCCAACGGGCTCCCACAACAGCAGGGCCCACCTGTCCCCACCTCCCCAGCTGGGAGCCCCAGCAGAGGCTTCTAGCCTGGGACCACATGGCTGCCCCGTGCCAGAACCTCAGGTAAGCAGGGGGGAGGGCAGGGGAGGACCCTGGGCAGGGAAGGAGTGCAGGGAAAAGTGGCCCAGGGAAAAGTGGAGTGTGGGGTGGGGGAAAATACAGTCTCTCACCCGCCCTGTGGCTGGTGCGTCTCTCCTTGCTGGTACAGCCCAGCCCAGCTCCACAGACCCCTGCCAGCCTGTGCCCCACTTTGGGCCCCACCGGTGCTGGCCCTGGGACATTGGTCCCAAGATGGTGACCAGGGGCTGGGGCACCTGTCAAGGGGCGGGGCTACCCATGTGGCCCTCAACAGCCTGCCAAAACTGGGTAAGCGGCCCTCCGCCCGAAATAATTGCCGACCCCTGTTCTAGCTAATGACTACAGTCATGACTTCTGTTTGCTGTTTGTTGCTCTACCTCGGTCTCAGTCCCTTACAGACCTCTTGACCCATTTGCTCGTGATAGCTTGACTTGTCTCTAGTTTGGACCCCTTGGTTCCTGATCTTGCCTTGTTCCTGACTCCCTGGCACATGATGCTCTAGTGTCAAGCCTGAAGGCTCATGTCCTGGTCATCCCCTGGCACCAGGTGAACATTAAACAAGGGTTAGGGTAAACATGTAGGGTGTAAATCTGTTCTAACTATACTTTTTACCTTTAGATATAAAAGTTAGATTAAAGCTTAACCTTTTCCTGCTTCTGCTGGATGGCTCTTTAGGCTTAAACATATGTCCCTAAGCAGCATGCATGAGCATGTGGTTTTGAATCTGATCTCTGCATTAACTTCATACATGCTTTTTATCCATCTTTTTATTTAGACTGGTAGAACCAAATCACAGAAGGACATGAAAGAGAAATCAGCCTTTGTGAATAGTCTGTTTGTTTTCCATATGTTTGATCATATCTCTAAATGGCTTATTTTGGGTCTTAAGACAGTTGTTTGTTACCAGCTTTTGAGCAAACATTGGTTCATGTAACAAGCCTAATCTTGACATTTAACCTGGAGTTATTTCCACAGTGCATAATTAATGTGGTCTTAGAAGTGGTAGTCTCTGGAAACTTACATGCTATCTAAAGTGCACTATCTCTCTAAGCTGTTTGTCCCATTCAGAGTATCAGTGCCACAATGCTAATTACAGACAAAGATCGTTAGTTTCCATTATACAGTATGTCTTTTAGACAGTGGAAAATGATTAAATGAAGTGTCATAACCTTTCCTTATGAGGAGTATTTTCAATTAAGCACTCTAGTTATTGATTTTTACAAATTCCAGGACATAAAGAAACACATAATGACTGTATGATGGCTTCAATGTGTTCTGATTGGACTGTTAATGTAATTTTTTTATGGTAACTGATGAAGACATCATATAAGTACCCAATAAAAAGTTGCACCGAATAAAAATTATTTCTTAATAGTGGTGAAAAAATAACCAACTTGAACTTGCTAGTTGGAGTTGCTGTGAATCATTAGTATTAAAATCATACAGTATCCCTTTCACTTGTTTGGCAAAGAGGATTAACCAACTGTACTGACAAACTTCCAGAATGCTATTGTTACTACCCCTTTAGTTTGCTTTAAGTGTAGAAAATTGTTGGGTTTCATGGTTATATGATCTGGCTATTGTGTCTAAGATTGTAGGAAGAGAATGAGAAAACAAAAATAAAGCAAAACCAATATAACAAGCAGTTCATATTTCTGGGAATCTGTAATTTAATGTACTGTGGGGAAGAAACTATTTTGATACTTTGTTAAGAGTCTTGTGCATGCCTACATAAGAGCATTGGCTTGCAGCTCATAAGACTCTATGTAGTTCTATTTCAGTATTTTGTTTTTAAAAAGGTTACAGATAAAGTATCAACTATGTGTCTATTGTTTTTAATTTATTACTTGTGGAGCTGGGATTCTTGATTTCAGTGTTGCAGGCTCACAGATCTTCATGATTTGGTCTTGTTAACATAATACTTGTGACTATTCCCCAAATGGCAACAAATATATACTGGTTGGTAAGAAAGAGGAGAATAAAATCAAATTCAGAAGAGGTTTGAGATCATTTGTTACAATAAAGAGATTTTTTATGACCAGTGACAGACTACATCACAGTCTTGTTTCCAAGAACCCTGGCAAATTAAATACTTCAGTTTTGAACATGCATTAAATAGCGATTACATTCTCTGTAAAAGAGTTCAAGAAAATTCAATGAAAAGATTAGTGGTTCAGGGGACTTCACTGATAGGGAAGATTTAGCTTTGAAAGGAGACAATACTGTAAGAAATAACATTCATGATATTTTATGCTTTTCTAATCTGAACTAAATTTGGCTTTGCTAAGTTGTTATAGACCTACTGAAATTGTGACTAAGTGAATTATCTGAAAACTAAACTATAAAGAAATGTAGAAATGCAGAATTCTTATCAGGACTCAGATCCCTTTGTATCTAATAGTCTCTGCTAACAAATTTGGCAAACAAATCTTGTTTTCTTTAACCTGGCTAGGATGGTTTAGAGCAGGGGTGTCAAAGATCCAGCCCATAGAGCTGTTGCATCCAGCTTGCATGGCTTCTGGAGAGGCTGGCAATTTGGGGAGGAAGTTTGTGGCAAACAACAGAAATCTGGAGTACAGAGCCTTGTTGGGGATGAATTCGTGCAAGGGACATTTTAGTAGATAAATATTTCATGATAATAGCTATATTCCAAAAACATAAAACCCAAAAATCTTTACATTTTTTTTTGTCTGGTTTGAGATTTGTGACGTTTCTTTCTAATAATTCTGATAAACACCCAAGTGCGTAACTATCTTTTCTTTTTTTAGGTATGGGCTAAAGCCAAATGACCAAATCCTGGCAGAGGACAAACATAAAGAACTGTAAGTTTTATAAAAAATGATGCTAACAGTTACTTGGTTACTGCATGTCCCTAATATGTGTTCATGATATGAAATCATTACTTGTATCCAGTGAAATTACAAATGAACAAACAAACAAATCCCCCCCAAACCCCACTTTTTTAAAGGTAATGCACTGGTTAGTTGTTTAAACTGACAATATTGCATCATGCTTTTGAATGCAGTCATTTATTGACCAGTTCAGATTTTTCCTCATTGAAATATTTCCTGTTTTGGCTTAGCAGACTTAAGAACTCTTGGACATGACTGCTGAAAGATTTTAAACTACCCTCTTGTGAAAGTTTCTATAGCTAATTATTAATTGCCTTCCAGTAGAACTGCCAATAGATACTATATTTACTCAAATACAAGATGAGGTCCCTTCCCCACTCCCCAATGAGCATGGGGAAAAATGTTCTTTGTGTTATATTTACATATAAGGAAATCTCATTAAATACATTGTCTGTCATTAAACTGCTGCCAAAACCAGCATGTGCTCAGTAATAGAAATCATCTATGAGGCTGATTTAAATGAAGCCAACACGGAGCATGACTATAAAACACATAGCCCTTACTGGGCAAGCATACTGATGGGAACCTACCACAAACATAGGTTATAACGTGCAGTCTATCTTAATAAGACTTTATTTACTTGGATTGAAGACAACCCCCACCCGCCAAATTAAATTCTATATATGGAAAATGTATACATTTGTTATAATTTTCCAGGTATAGAATCTAATT